ACTTTAACTAACCTAGCATTGTGCTCTTCTTCTGTTCTACCAGATATCAAAACATCGTCTAAATAATACATTATTCCCTTTATTCCTTGAAATAACTCCGCCATTGTTCTTTGAAATATTGGAGCCGATACTTTCAAACCAAATGGTAAACGACAAAAAGCAAATAATCCTCTATGCGTTGTGATCGTTAATATCTTACTTGTTCTCTCACTTACCTTTATTTGCAAGTAAGCATTCGAAAAATCTATTTTTGAAAAAATTGTTGCTCCTCTTAAATTAGCCAACAATTGTTCTATTCTAGGTAATGGATATCTTTCGTTTATTACCCACGGGTTAACTGATACTCTATAGTCTATACACAGTCTTAAACTGTTGTCTGGTTTTCTTATGGGAACTAATGGTGTTGCCCATACACTATGCACTATTGGTTTTATAATTCCTTCTTTTAACCATTTGTCTAATTCCTTATTTATATCTTCTATCCACGAAAACGGCAATCTTCTTGTGCTGCAATATTTAGGTCGATAACCTTGTTCTAATCGTTCTACTTCAAAATCTCTAAGAGTCCCTAATTCTTCTTTAAAAACCTCCAAGTACTGATCCAAAATCATACTTATTTCATGGCTATATTTATTTTCGATAATCTCTTCCTGTTCTACTGTCTTCTTAATTATCTGTTTGTTGCTTTCGACTGGTGTTACCTCTAAAGAATTTATATCTCTTGACATCTTATTGTCTTTGACTCTATATTTAATCAAAAATTCTGGTGTTCGATTTCTAGGTTTATCGAGAACTAATTCTTGTTTATCCTCTATAATAGGTAACTTAAATCTATCGAAATCACTCCTTATTATTTCACTATTATCAATAAATTCTGTTGTTCGATTTCTATATCGAGAACTAATTCTTGTTTATCCTCTATAATAGGTAACTTAAATCTATCGAAATCTATCATTTCACTATTTTCATCATTACTTACAGGGATAGTATCGAAAAATTTCCACCAATTATAAACTGGACCTAACGTTCTAATATCATACCATCCTAAAATCGGTTCAATCTTCAACGTAGTTATCCACAAATTTATACTTTTATTAACTCCTGGTAACCTTACCCTATAATACCCTAAAATTTTCACCATGCTACCATCCAATTGTTTGGCTCTTATCTTTTTTGTAACAAATTCTTTCTCTGGCCAAAATCTCATAAAATCCTTTATACTTATCAAACTAATTTCTGCTCCTATATCTAATAAAAAACAAATTTCTGCTTCCTCCATGTTTATCTTTACTCTAGGCATCTATTTTTCATTAAAAAATTCTCTAATTCCATCTTTAGTACGTCTACACTAGTTGCCTTTTTAATTCTATATATTTCAAAATCTCTACTTTTTATTTTTATATCACTTCTATTAATATCGCTTGAATAATTATCAACGTTAATCGCAAAATTTATCGTTCTTATTACAATAATTATTCTTACTTGCACTAGCATTATCAACATTATCATTATTAAAATTAAAATACTTATTTTTACTACAATTATTAACATTAACAAAATTATTATAATTATCTAATCTATCATTAAAATTAAAATGCTTAATTTTACCTGAACTATTATTACCAAATTTATTATTAAAATTAAAATATTTATTCTTATTTTCTACTAAATTATCAACATTAAAAAAATTATTAAATTCATTATCAAAATATTTCTTTCTTAGTCATTTGTTACATTTTTCTTGAGTGTGTCCATCCTGGCCACAAATATTACATCTCACAATTATATTGTTTAACATACATCTTATAGCTAAATGGCCATTCCTGCCACATCTCGCGCATTTCAAATCTTTTGTTAAATCACAATCACGCGACATATGGCCTGGCTGACCACAGCTATAGCAACTTATCTGTCTGTAATTATCCGTTCGTATGAAGTTGTTTATATTTCTTTTCTTATCTTCCTCTCTTAATATATTCTTAATATTTTCTAACTCTTTAATCTCTATCTTAACGTAAGTCGTATTTCTTCCTATAATTAAACCTAACGTGAAACTTAAAATTAGCAACAAAAATATAATTATACTTATATTTTCAAGTATTAAACTTAATAAATTTATTTGCGTAATATACATTAAAGTGTACTCAATAACCACTTGATTAAAATAATTTTAACTAATCTTAAACAATTAAATAAATATAAACATACGAATAAAACCAATACCAAGATCCAAAATTTATATAACATCAATAAGAGAACCGAAATTATCAAAAATTTATATATATTTTTTTTATTATTTTTTTTACCTTGTTCCAATGTATAATTAGACTGACTTTTGATCAGACTTTTGATCTTCTAAAGCCTGGATCAACGCTGTAAGGCACCACTGTACCAATATGGGATTGATATTTATATTGCTGAGGCTAGTGGGAGAGACTGAATATCTATGGAACTAATAATAAATAAATAAATATATAATTATTAATAATTTCTAATACTAATTCCCTACTTTTACTCTTTATTCAACTTCTATCAAATCCAAATAATAATCAAAATATCGTCTGTAAATTCTTTTATAAAATTAATAATCAAAATATCATCGGTCAATTCTTTTATAAAATTAATAATCAAAATATCATCGGTCAATTCTTTTATAAAATTAATAATCAAAATATCATCGGTAAATTATAATTATTTTTCTTGGCTATTTATATATTTTTTGCTAACCATTAAAAATCCTTTTTCATAAAAATTCAAAATTATAAATTTGCATGGCGAATAAAAATTAATAATAATAATGCTAACTAAAATTATAATTTAATATACGAAATATAAATTTGCATGGCGAACAAAATTAATCGTAATAATAATAATTAAAATTATAATCTAATATTTGAAATATAAATTTGAATAGAGAACCAAATTAATAATAATAATGATGTTAACTAAACTTCTAATGTTCAAAACCTAAAAGATTAAGTACAAACTATAACAATTTTAATATTTATAAATGTTGATTTTTATATATTTACTATATAATATCATTATAAGCAAAAAATATAAAATTTGTTTGTAAATTTTTTTTAAAAAAAGTAGCTTAAAAAATAGCTAAAGTTACTTTTAAAAGATAGTAGCTAATAGCGAGCTACTTTTTTTGACAAATAGCGATAGCGGTAGGGGAAATGAAGTAAAGGAGTAATTTATTGTAATATATGCGTTATATTTGTCAGTTACTATTAATTATATAGATGGATATTTTATATGTTTTATAATGTATGATGAGTATAATAATTATGTACGATAAACCTCCTAATATTATATATATACATTTATCCATACACATATTTCCTATTGAATAAAATGTCAGAAACACAATTGTATAAATTATCAATTAAGGCATAATGTAAGAATTAATTTTTTTATCACTTGCAATTCTTTAGACGCAAAAATTTTTTTATATCAGCAATCGAAAATATTTTATACTGTAATAAATAGATTTTGTATTAAAAAAAATTTTTTGTTTAGAAATGTCTTGTATTGTTTTAATTATTTATATGCAAGTTTATTTTGTATGTATAATATAATAAATGACAAAATATGAAATTCAGAATAATTGTTCATAGTTAACAAATTTTAAAAAAGTATAATATATTAATCTAAAACCCGGCCGAAGGTCGGGCAAAAGCGGGCCGGAGGACCGCAAATTGGGGGCATGGAGGCGGAGCCCCCTATAATTTTTTTTTAATTGAGCCCCCTGAAATTATAAAGGCTAGCGACGCCCCTGACTTAAGGCTTCAATATATTTGCATAATTTCTTCTAAAGATTTTGAGTGTTTTTGTTTTATCAATTTATCTAACATAATAAATTCTGATATGAGTTAATATCGTGAGTGTCATAACTATGACTGCAAATTAACTAGCATCTATTATTTGTGTTGCTATGTGATTTAAGATTATTACTACAGCTGCTGAGAGCATATGATTGCATATTTAATAAGCAATAATGATCAACTGCTGTGTAGTCGTTTATATATCGTTAAAAAATGGAAAATAATCTTTTAGAAATTTAATATCCACAATTTTTTTCTCGATTATTTTTCTAGCTTTCATCACATTCTAAGAGGAAGCTCTAACCACCTTAAAGTTTTATGATTTGGATTGGTCGTTTATATTCTCTTCTTCAAGAATTGTTGATTTGGTTAGGTAAATTTTTCCTTATTAGTCCATTCTATAAAACATTGTCTAAAAATGGTAACAGAGAGTTATATTAGTTTCTTGCCTTTTGTCGATGTAAGGTGCTAAGAATTATTTTATATCATGAAGTTTTTAATATCATTATCTTGAGGCATATGTATGAATTAATTAACATTTTTATCACTTGTAAGACGCAATTTTTTTTATATCAGGAATCGAAATTATATTTTACTGTAAAAAATATTATTTTTAGAAATGTCTTATATTGTTTTAATTATTTATATGCTAGTTTATTATGCATAATATAATAAATGGCAAAATATGAAATTCAGAATAATTGTTGAGACAGTAAATTTTAAGAAAGTATCAAAAATTGGGGGTATGGGGAAGCCCCCTATAAATTTTTTTAGTTGAGCCCCCTAAAATTGTAAAGGCTAGCGACGCCCTGATTTTATTATTAAATGATAAAGATAGATTAGAGGTTATTTCACTTAAGGAGAATAGTAAACGTTACCACTTCAAAAAAGAACGCATTAAAAAAGGAACGCATAACCATTATTCTTTACCTTCTAAAAATAGAGCGTGTTACTCGCTATTCAAAAAAACTAACGCATTACTCGTTACTATTTTCTTGTCATACAAAAATAATATATTAAAAGTATTTTTGTAATTAAACTATATTATAGCTAAAGTTAAATATATCTAAAATTGAGGAATTTCAAGTAAATACCCAAATTAACATAGTCTTGCTCATTTTGGGCAGGTCTATAACCAACGTGCTAGATAAGATAAAATAATTGGTGAATTTTTTGATCATGTTTATAGGTGGAATTCCCCAATTATGAACGAATTTGAGATACTTGACACAAATAATGATTTAATATTAGCCCAAACTCTTCAATATGAATATGATTTAGAATATGATAAAATTTTAAATATTAAAGAAAAAAATTTAAACAAAGGTGCAAAAGGTAATGAAATTATGTTTATTTTATAATATATTTTTATCAGTTCAAATATCACTTGACAATTATAAATATTTTGGCCCAAGCATATGGAAACAGGAAGATAAAATGGAAAGATCTAATTTTCTTAATGAGGAAGATCTCTATGAAGATGAAGATATTTTTGACATTAATGAAAAAAAAGGTATCACTATATGAGTCCATATTAAAATTAATAATTATTCTTTTTAAATCATTATTTAAAATGTTAGGGTTAAAAATTTATTATATATTGAACTTTCCTAATTTACACACAGTTATCCTAATTTAGTCTTATATTGCTAATGGGTCTTAAAGACCCATATTTCATTTGTAATTTTTATTTGTATGATAAATAATTTATGAATAATATAATAATTGGTACAACAAATTGTTTGATGTTCTTTAAACAGGGGTGACATAGGTTATATACAGGAAATGGTCATCCTACACTTTGCCTTAAAGTGACAAACTTGAGTAAGAAAAGATTCTTTCTTTCTTTCTGTTTGACCTAATTTTTTAAATGTTTTTTTTATTATAAAATGTTACCATGCACTGGTTATTTTAGATTATAAAAAGAATACTCTGCTTCAAAATCATACAATTTTGGCATTAATTAAACCAAGGTTAAATCAATTTTAGATAGAATTAAGCCAAAATCATATGAAATTAGATCTTGACAATTCTAGAGCTATTTGTCTTATCCTAAAAATTGTCAAGAGTAGGTAATGCTGTTAAATGGCTCGATTTGAGCCGATTTTAAAAAACAGCTAACTCAATATTTTAGCCAGAAAAAAATTAGGCAAGCCTGAAGATTTTGGTCATAGATGGAACAAAGGTTTGGACATCTATTATCAAAATCTTCAGGCTTGTGCAATATTTTTATGGCTAAAATATTGTGTTAGCCTTTTTTAAAATCAACTCAAATTGAGTTGTTTAACAACACTAAGAGTGGGTACAAAAAAACACATAAAGAATATCTACTTGTTTTTCTATGTCTATATATTAGGGAAGAAAATTGTGCTATCTATGCTGCTCCTGATTGAATTATAAGATATTTATTAGAACAGTCCTTTAGTATTGTTGATCATACCATGACAACCTTATTAGAGTTTGGATGCTGCTCCTGATTGAATTATAAGATATTTATTATAACAGTCCTTTAGTATTGTTGATCATACCATGACAACCTTATTAGGGTTTGGCATGGGAAACTAATGTTACCTCTTCCAATAATCCATATATAAGATGAATTATATTTTAATTAGATCTTTTCCAAAACAAAAAATGACCAGTAATTCTGACATACATGATATTTTTTACTAGACCTATTTCAAGCAACATCATGAATTATAAGATAACTATGGTGGAATTCCATCAAAACAGCCTGTGGATTGTTGGCAATATAAGGATAACTTTGGTTGGAATATAGAAAACGAATGTTACCTCTTCCATTTAAGCTGTTAGTTATTGCCAATAATATTATGATAAGCATTAAACAATAACTATTTTTTATGAATCCAAATTATTGGAAGATATGAATAGCTAAAATCAGACACCAAAGCTTGGTATTACAGAGCATCCCAGCAACCCTATTGACACATGAAAATTTTTAACATACTTTAAACTTAAAAATTATTTCTAAATCACATTTAATAATATTAGCCATCATTCCTATAACTACATGCACTAATGAGTAATAATTTTGTACTATACCTACATTTAAAAGCTACTTAAGAGCACCAGGCTAAAACTAATGATTTAGTTCTTTTAAATATATACAGATATTAATCCCACTCCATGTGAAGTCATAGAGGAAACAGCTAAAGGGCCACTTAGGATTAACTTTAATATAAAATATGTACCTTTTTTTTAAACATATATTAAATTTTTTAAAATAAACCATAAAATTTATAAAAAAAATTTACAATAGCTTACATAAAATTATTATATATTTAAAATCATATATAATATCATACTGATTATGTTTGCAATAAAAATAATTTTAATTAGGGGTGTACCGATACCACTTTTTGGAGGTCGATCTGATCCGCCCGATATTCTAGATATTAAATTGATATCGGCCAATAACCGATCTGATATCATATCTAATTTTGTATTCTACAAAGATACCAATGGTTTTAATTTGTATTATACTTTTTATTAGTATAACATCTATAATTTTACTATATCATAACATATGTCATTTAAATGGGAGGGCCTCCTTTGATTGTAAGATTTTGATCGTAAAATGGTCCATTTTCGGTCAAAATGGACGATTTTTTCATTCATATGAATTTATAAGCACGTAATTATTCTGTTATGCTCGTAATTATTCAATTATGCATTTATTTAATATATTAGATAATTCCAAGACATTTTTTATCCAGGTAATTTTCTATTCATAAATATATCAGATACTTCTAATCAATTTCTTAACAATATTTAAGATAATTATTTCAATCAAGCAATTCTTATATCAGATTATATGCAATTCTTATATCAGATTATATGCAATTCTTATATCAGATTATATGCAATTCTTATATCAGATTATATGCAATTCTTATATCAGATTATATGCAATTCTTATATCAGATTATATGCAATTCTTATATTAGATTATATGCAATTCTTATATCAGATTTTATGCAATTCTTATATCAGATGCAAGCAATTTGAATATATCAGACATTGTTTTAATTTATACCTATTAATAAAATTTAATTAGCTAATTTGAAATACAATTTTTTAATATAACTGAACTTTATATATATGATTACTTAAGATTAATTTTAATGATTAAGAATATTTCTTATGCATTTTCTCAATATAACTTATGATTACTTAAGATTAAATGATTAAGAATATTTCTTATGCATTTTCTCAATATAACTTATGTTATTTCTTAATATATAAGAATTCACTTATGCAATTTTTTAATCTAACTTATAAATAAAATTAATTGATAGAGTCATAGGATTTGATTTTATTTATAAATTTGTATTTTCTGTTATAATATGTGGTATCATTTTTTCTATAATCTTTTATGTATAAATATCCATCATGATACAGGCACAAATTCCCTTTTGATGTTGGAAATATATTGTATATCTAAAAATTACAGTGTCAAAATATATTTATAATCAAATTATGTAAAAGTAATAATATAATTTATTTACTTGAATTTTCACTTTTGGAATTTTGTAATTCTAATAAGATTTCTACATTATTAATTCAGAAAAGTCTTGAATTATATTAAAATATGATTTAAAAAAATATATGTAATCTACTTGTAAAAGCAGGTTGAATGTTAGTGTGGTTAAATGGGAAATGTTGTGTATTGGCTTCATTTGTTAATATATCTAAAAATATGATATTAACTTATACTAATATTTTTGTTACTTGAAACTGAAGGATAAAAGTTATTTCTGGTAATTGGTTGTATTTCTTGTGGTTGTATTTGTTGGGTTGTATTAGCTTGATTATTCAAAAATAATTATTTTATTAGTTAAATGTTAGTATTCTGATCTGTACAAGATATACATTGAGAATCTTTACCTAAATTAATGTAAGTATTCTAGATAGGTTTAGTATTAAATATACCTTCAGCTGTTAGATGATTTTGTGTCACTTCAAATAAACCACCTACTAACTTACCTCTGCCTTTACAATCTCTCCTTCTGCAGCGGTAAAATAGGCTCAGCTATTCTATGTATGATCTATTGAAATAGGTTATAGCAGAGTATATCCTTACATTTATTAGATTTGTATTTGATTGGGTTGTCTAAAAAATATTTTTTTAAAAAATCAAATTAAATCATTTCTTCTTTTAACAAATAGTCTTAAATTATCAGCTACAGTATTAAGCATAATGTTTTTAAATGATTTTAATTTACCGTGTTTAAATAGATCAATCAGAAAAAAGTGGACCAAATTTACGATCAAATGACTTTACGATCATAGTTAGGCAAATCATTTAAATATATTATAATGATCAGTTATAGTTTATATTCAATTCATTTGCAATTCTAAAAGTATATAAAATATTTTTATTGATAAATTACTTATTTATATAATAAATAATAACATTAATCTATTTACATAATTAGTAATAAACAAATATATTATGAAATTTGATATTAATACTTAAATTAAATATATCGAAAATTTCTTTTTCGAAATATCAAAATTTCCAATTTATCAGAGATCAGTCTGCGGCGATGGGGAATGCCAATATCACTAGCATCACTAAAAGCAGATTCTGAAGATTATTGAACATTTTTTTAAACAGAATGCGAAAAAAAATAACTATATGGCAGAATGTTTATTAACTAATTATTATTAAAAAATTAAACATAAAAATGGATTTCGATTTTATTTATAAAAATAAATGGTTTTTTAGATATAACTTTTTCTAAAAAATTGTTTATTTTATTTTTGTTAAAAAAGCCATTTTTTATCGGATCGGAAAATTTTATAATATTTGCCGATAACCGATATTTTAAAATGGGTGAAATATCGGCCCGATCCTATCCGATATAAAATATCGGTACATCCCTAATTTTAATCTATATGATGTGTGTTACTAATAATTATATGTTTTTTTAAAAAGCTAGAAAATATATGAGGAATATATAAAATTAGATATATATATATGCTTTAGATAATACAAAATATATTCCTAGCACTGACTGTCATCTTACCTCTTTTTTTCATACATAAGTTATATTATATTTATCTTATAAAATAGTTAATAAAGTATAATAATTTGAAATATTGTTCTAATAAAAATGATTAAATGTCGAAATTTTTGTTATCTTAATTAAAATGAACAATATTTCTAATATATATAAGAGTAAAAAATAAGCATGATTTCAAACATAATCCTGGCCATATGTCTGGCAAAAAAACCGAAGGCCTATTAACTGTGAGGGATCTGGTGGGCGAAATTATTCTGGCTTTTACATGTATGGATCCCCCCCCCCCCCAAGGAAAATTCAAAGCTACGCCACTGCTTCTTTATATCAAATTTTAAAAAAATTCTCCATTATTTAATAGAAAATTAATCAAAATCGCCCTTAATCAAATTTCTATAAAAGTATACATTTACAATTTTTTAATGCCCTTTTTAATAACAAGAAAAACAAAAATTACATATATTTTTAAAATTATCCCATATATATGGGAAATATTCACATTTTCAAACCAACATTGGTTTAAGGTTCTGTCTTGAAAAGTCTTATTTTTAAACAGTCGTCTGTTTAGCTATCCATATAGCTTCCTCTAAACAGCCTTAAAAAGAGAGGCTATTTAGATTTACACAAAAGATTATTTATTTATTACCGAAAGAATAATAAAAATATCAAATATTATTTATTTATTACCGAAAGAATAATAAAAATATCAAATAATATTTGTTTAATGTACAAATTTAAAATAACCCAAAATAGGGTGCCCTAGTTAAAAATTTGTTTAGCGCACATTTAAAAATAAAAAAAGTCAGGAATGCTTAATTTGAACCATTTTTAAAAGAATAAACTAACCCTATGTTTGCCTCAAACTTTCCATATTAATATTTACTTAATTTATTTTATGATTTAAACATATATAAAAATGAATTTTGAAAAATATAGTTGATGGGCATATTTTCAATTATGTGAATAGAAATACAATCAAACAATTTTTTCTACCATGAATTATAAACCTCTATCTTAATTTGTAAATTAGTTTTATTATTATTTATGTAACATTGGATTTCTAATAATAATTAATTATTGTTATGTGATTATTTTATAGTATTTGGCAATATTTGCATAAATTTTGTCAATTTTCTAGTCCAATTTTTATCACTTAGAATGAAATAAGTGATTTTAAGGAAACATTGTATTTATTAAAATAGTCCTTCATAATAATTAAATTTATATAAATATAAAATTTGCAACTAGAACAAGCTTCTCTATGTTTAATTTTATCTATTTTTAATAATAATTTCGTGTTGTATCAGCACTAATTTTTGTTAGGTCTTGATTCCCATATAAATTTAATTTGTATTTTGAAAAAATATTCTATTAACAAATTGAACTAATATATAATGGTTGTTCCTATGATTTTTTTAAGGAAAATTGAAGAATAATCTTTATAATAGATACTAATATAATGAAAATAATTATTAATCCCAAGGTATTGTAACAAAACATGATGCAAATGTGTGTGGGCGCAAGAACATGACAAAATTTATGAAAGCCCCTATAAGTATAGACACCGGAGATTGTGATGGAGAGAATATTAAACTTGCTAACAATGTGTATAATAACCTCAAAGCAAATTGCGCTAAATTAGAAAAAAGAAGACATCGTTTGCACGAAAAGAAAGATGCTTCAACCGCTGTAATATTATTTTTTTGCTAAGCTAAAAACATGTAGAAGAAAAGGAAATTTTCATGACATTTCAAAACATTTATAGTGTTAAAAAGATTTCCTGTCCTCATAAATAATTTAAAGTTAATTTTATTATAAAAAAAGTTTATTTTTCCTTTTGCTTAACATATAATAAGGAGTTAGCTATCGACTCGAAAACGCGTTTGATGTTGTTTAAATTGATCAATCAATCCGTATTATCATCGATGACAGGCTGTATAAGTTCTGGCAAGGAAGCTTGTGTATATCATGCCTATTTAGGGGATGATGTCTCGATTACGCACCTACCGGAACAAGGAGCGTTCATTGCTTCCGAAAACAAAGAGTGTGCCATCAAAATATACAAGACGGTGCTGACCGATTTTAAACATAGACAACAATACATAATTGACGATTATAAATTCAAAGATGTTAAAATTAATCCTAAAAAGCTGATAAAACGATGGGCCGAAAAGGAAACCAATAATTTAAGAAAGTTTGCATATTATGAAATATTCTTTATTAATTAACACGAATTATTTTTTTATTATTGATTCCAGGATGCAAAGCCAGGGTATAAATGTTCCGGCAGTTATAACGCTCCATAAACATATGCTTATAATGTCTTTCATCGGACACAACGGGATTCCAGCGCCTAAAATTAAAGATGCTCTTTACGATTCCCAGGAAATGAGTATGGCCTACAGAGAGATCATAGAAGTATAAGTTAATACCTTAAATGTACCCTAGTTTTTGAATAATTTATCTATATAAAAGGAGAATAACGACCCCCCTCCCGTCTAATCTATGCTCATAATTTTGAACCAGAAGCTGAACCCTCGGAACTGAATCGAATCTAAAAACCAGAAACTCTTAGAACATTTAATAACTAGAACCCCTTTAAAAGTCTTCAGTAATGATGTAAATCATAAGGCTCTTATATTTTAAAAACTATGCTGAGCTAAAATAAATCGAATTTTAATACCTATAAATTTTAAGTCCAGGTTATTACATCTTAAATTTTTACTGAAAAAAAAATTCAGAAATGGTAATCTTATCATTCAATCGCTTCTCATATTTTCAATTTCCCATTGAAAACTATTTGCAAAATTATTGCCAAGATTATGTAAGATTAACCAAATTTTTAAAAATCCTCCAGATTCCCAAAAACGAAAATTTAAAAAAAAATGGACTAAAGACCTTGACAAATCTCTACTTTATATTAAAGATAGAAAGTGTTTCCTCAATTTTAACCAATTCCAGTGACTGCCCAAAATAATAATTAACCCTAAATTGATGTATATATTATTTTCTAAACAGATAAGAAAAAAAAGCTTATGTTATTTTGTTACGTGTTTATTAAAAAATCTCCATTTAAGCCCTTTTTTATAAACGGCTAGATCAAGATTTTAACTTTAAAATATATAAATAATCATGTTTACCTAAACCTCTATTATTTAGTCAAAAGAGGTCCAAACCTTTCTATCATATATGTGCGAAATTTTGAGGCTTAGATAATTTTATTTTATCTAAAATTTTGAATTGGTCGTTTTCTATTTTAAAAAAGCCTCAAAATTGAGGTTTTAGACAAATCCTTTAGTATGGAAGAATAGACAAAATAAATTACGACTACGAGTTGCATTAATATTTTGAAACTCATATTTTTATGCCTTAAATGAATCAAAAAATATTTTTATGGAAAGGAAATTTAGGAAAAATTCGTATCGAGCAAAAAAAGAAAATGATATCAAGGCAGATCTTGTGTTACCTTAAAAAAATTTGTGATTACATTATACTATATTTCTATATTAACACACATTAAGATGATGAGAGCGTTATTCAACCTATGCCATTTGGTACACGCGGATTTGAGTGAATACAATATTTTATGGCACCAGGGTAAATGTGTTGTAATTGATGTTGGCCAATCCGTTTCGCTCGCACATCCAAAAGCTCTTGAATTTTTATTCCGCGACTGTGAAAATATTTCGAAGGTTTAAAACAACAAAATTATTTATCTAATTTCCTAGCTTAATTTAATTACGCTAAAAACATGATCACTCAGCTATTTGATCGCATCATATTTCGAATTATTCGATATTTGATTCGTATTTTACGAATAACAAAGTTGTTCGATCTCTAAATACGAATAAATATAGTATAATATTCGTCAAATAATTTTTTTTATCCTTTATTCGATCGAATTATTCTTAAAAATTTGAAATTATTTATGAGTATCGAATATGTTCCTTGGGTATATTTTCAGGAAATAAATTTTCGAATCGAATGTTTTCATTATAGATTCGTATTTTTGTATGTAGGTGTATTTCGTTATGGTAAAAAATTAAAATTCGATTTGATGTCACTTTTCTAAGTTATTAAAGTGAACACTAAATCATATTTTGGATATTTGAAATTTGATTTATATTTTATAAAAAATCTTATTTAATTTTATTAGTTCTTTGCTAGAAAAGGATTGAAGGATATCGAATCAGAATCAAATCTTTTTAATATGATTACCAACTTGAATATCAACAATGAAGGAACCCCATTTTTCAATAAGGTTTTATTAAAAAAGGCTATATTACCTATTGTAGTATATATGTAATCTACTTTATTAACATGCATATTGAAAGACAACGCGTTACATCAAAATATATATATATCAATCTATACAAATATTATTCACTATACTATATTACACCTATAATAATATTAATATGATATTTGCAATATAGATTAAGACTTACGATAAACGCGAACTTATTCGACGTATTGAACTAGAGAGCAAAGATTATGATACTGAACAATTTTTATCAAATTTTGAGATAAAGATGCCCAAATTTAAAATATTTTAAAATTTTATTTATTTATTTCAAATAATGATTATATCTAATTATTTATTGTCATTTTGTTTATCAAGTTAATAAAGAGTTAAATGAATTTATTAATTATTTTTATCTTATGATTTAATAAATTATTTTAACGGGATTCATAAATACTCGTCTCCATAAATATCAAATTTTGTAAAAACATTTTTTTAGAAAAATACTCTTGTAGCCAAAAAAAATGAGGTCGGATGGATGACTTAGAATTTATAAAGAAGCATGATGGTTTGATTGGTTTTTTCTGAAACTTGGTATGAGCAATATCATATATGTGTGCTGTTAGTTTTTAAAACCACTAAGATTTTAACCAAAATAATATTACACAAGCTTTGAAGTTTTGTTAATAGATGTCCCAGGGTTGTGCAAAAATATTCGGATACAGATACTTTTTGAAATTTTGTATTTAAGATACTAGATAATTATGAAAAATTTCAATAAGATGCTGTTTAAAAAAATTAAATTGTTCAAACTTTAAATAGTCAAAATCAAAATGTATCAAGCTTTATTTTTTAAATAAAATATGCTATAATATAAATTTTTAAAAAATATGAAAATAAATTGTAGAAAATTACAAATTTGTTATATAAGATAGTGCGATATAAAGTTATATTTTAAAAAAAAATGTATACTATAATAATAAAAACAATATCAGAATAAAAAATTAATTAGTAAATATCAATAAATCAACATCATAAATCATTTCTTTTTAATATTATTAATTTTTCTAACAATTTGTCGTCTTTTACGATTTGGTCTACTGATAATACCAGCAAGCTGAATAATCGTTCAACAAGGGCAGAGGACGGAAATATTGTTTTAATTTTAATATTTTTTTTCATATATTTATAATTATTTAACATGTTTATACTGCGCTTATCATCTTTCATATAATCTAAGACCACTAATTCAATATTATTTACTGAATTATTTGAATTAGATGTGGTAGTTTTTAAAATAAAAGTGATCATCTTCATCAATTGAAGAATTTGCTGATATTAATTTTAATATTATTTTTTAAAATAGTTAAAACTTCGTTTAGCAAATAAATTGAGGTAAATTTGAAGAATAGATTGAAATAAACTGAACTGAAACTAATAATCAGAATATATATAAACAAATAAATAAAATAATTTTACTGCTACTTTCTTACATAATTATAAAATAATACATAAAATTTAAAAAGCAAAGGGTTAAAGTTAACATAAAAATTAAGAAAAATACTTTCCTAAATTTGGAAAAGTCGTATAATATAAAATTATTTATCTTTTCCTTAATCATATACATAGTCTGCAATCTTAAATAATATTGTAGTAATTCTTCTAATTTGAATAATACATTTTTCGTTTTAATTTAAATATTACAAAACTTCGTTTATTAATAAATTCTGAAGGTATTTTTTTTTCTTTTTTATCATCAATCCAACGATTTTAAAGTAAGGATGATAAACAGTGACCAAAAATGCGGTTTTAAAGTTGTTATCAAATTCATATATATTTTTAAATATTATATTTAAATTTATATTACGATTCTAAATGCAGATCAGTTTGAATTAAATTTGTGATATTTTTTAACAAAATTTAATATATGTAGCTGATAATAGCAGTTGATATCGCCTTGTATTTTATCTGGGAACATTGTATGGCAATATTCTTCTAAATATTGCATTTCAATATCTCTTAGTTTTGGAATTTTTCTCAAAATTATGGTAGTTTGCTTTTAAATTTTAATGAACTAGGGCTATCAAACATACTATTCGATCTCGTACAACAGGTATACCTAATTGTTTTCTTAAAACTGCTTTGATAACCTCTGCAGTTGATCTATTACTGCATTATTGTAATATGATCGACGTAAAGCGATTAAAAAAATATGGTAGTTGTTTCAAATATTATATGATGACCAACGTCATTCATACATTATAAAATATTTAAATTCGGATTAAATTTTGAAATATCCTTTTAATACTAGCTAAATTAACTATATAATATTTTTTAAGTATCTGTATCTTTTTGAATATAAAGTCGATTAAGACAGATATTTTTAAATGATTTGTATGGCAACCCTGAGATGTCCAAACCTTTCTGCCATCCATGAGCTCAATCTCCAGGCTTCCGTAATATATTTGGCTAAAATATACAAAATCATTTTTTTTCAAAAAGTTTTATTTATATTAAATGATCTATCAAAATATTTATAATCTTTAATTAGCCTTTAAAAGTAACAATCTAAATTAGAATCTAACAAACATCCACGCCTCTCCCCCAAGACGTGCTTTGCAATACTAAATAAGCGCTCCAAAGGAGCACTAGAGGGAAGCGGGGTATTTTATAAAGATATTTTTTAATTCAGATACAAAAAAATTTTTAAAAACGGCTAACTCAATATTTTACTAGGAAAAATATTATGCAAGCCTTAAGATTTTGTTCATAAGTGGCACAAAGATTTGAACATCTATTAACGAAATCTCGAGGCTTAGACAATATTTTTTTGGCTAAAATATTGATTTAGCCGTTTTTAAAAATCGACTTAAATCGAGCCGTTTAACAACCCTGGTTGAACAAGTAATGAGAAAATTAAAATATATTTAAAAAAGCATCATATCTAACAACACAAGCTCAACTATAATGAATTGCCCAAAAATAATTATTTAAAAAAAAATTATTCCAAAATAAAAAAAATATAGTTATCATTTCGTATAAAGAAATATTTTTTATTTTTAGATGCTTTTTTAGATTGGAGTTGCTCACTTTTGAAAATGAAAATACTTTTACTTAAACACAAAAGGCATTTGCCCTTAAATTTGTTTGATCATTCAACATCTTTTAGAAATTTAAAATATTTTTTGCATGATGGAAATGAAAATTCGATTTCTTCTTCTATGATCTCTAAATCCATAATATCGAAAACTGAGCCCGAAAAAGAGCTAGTTCCCTCTCCTCATTTTTAAAAAGGAGCGGCGCTCCAACTTTGAATTTTACTCATATTTTAAAAAAAAATTATTTGAAAATGGTTGAATCTCACGTTGCTATCTTTATTTCAGTATTAAGTGTTATACAATTAGAAAAAAATATTATACAAATAAATATAGATAAAAATTTAATTAAATTTTAGAATTGATTAGAAATTTTATTAAATCAATGTATTAATATTTAGCATTTATTCAGAGTATCTGTATTTTAGATAATGAAATTTAAAAAGTAACTTTATAACGATTTAAAATGATAGAAAAACTAGTTTTTTTTCACTATATTATAAATTGAATTATAAATGAAAAATTCACAGTTTTATTTCTTTTCATTTTGTGACCCGAGTTAGAGAAAGGAATCAAGATCTTATTCGGTTCATCCTATTCAATTAAAATGAACAACGTTCACAATGAAGGTGGAACTAAAGTTAAATATTTTTGAAGGCAATATAAAACTTAAAGATTGAGATTACAGTTCCACCGAGATCTCTACATGCCATTTAGCCATATATCATATTAAAATTCGGTGTCTGTGATATAATTCTAAATTAAATACCTAGAAATTTTTTGATACGATATATTTATTTATATAATTTTAGAAAAATATTAAGTAAAAAAAAAATACGCATGATTGATTTAAAAAAAATTTAATACTAAGTATTCGTCAAAGTATTTGTATTTTAATACATTTTATGGAAATTTCTTGCGAGTATTTAATATTTAAAATACATTTTTTTAAAAAAGTATTTAATCTCAAATAAGTTTCTTTTTGAATTTATATTTTAATATATTTTTCTGAAAGATTGCCCAGCCCTGTGTATAATAGGCCCAAAATATATTGCTAACTGTTAAAAAAAATATTGTAAAATGGTATATATTTCATTCCATAAAATAAACACAAATTACAAAATATAACGTTTTTGGTGGTAAAAGTAGATCCTTTTAAAAATAATGCATATATTTTTTAATTTCTTCGAATAGCGAGTGATCGATTAACTTATATTATAAAAGAACTTACTAACTATTTTAGTAATTATTAGAAGAGTTCCCTTTTGGACCGGTGTCATTTTATAAACTTATATTATCATAGTTCTATTCGAAATCACGCCAGGTATAAAACTAATTTTTATAATAAAAATCGTTTGAAATATATTTTGTTTTTCTTTGATATAATAATTACACGAAATTAAATATAGATAGTTATAAATATTCTATTTAAAATACATTCTGAGAAAGCTTTTGATTTTATATATATAAAAAACATATTATTTGAGTATCCAAAAAGATATAAGCGGACCCCTGCACATAGGGCATTTGTCTAATTTAGAAAAACATGTTTTACATGTGCATACATGGCGGCAGGGTAATATAACGTGGTCGGAAGGGTTCTCATTGCAAATTACGCAAATACTTGGAGCTTTCGAGTAAGATTCACTCGATAAGTTGTCGTCGGCGTATTTTAAATCGCACTCTAGTTTCCCGTTATCGTTCAAGCCCGAGTCTGGATTCATATATAATTGCTGTATAATGCAAAAATTTTATAAAAAAAATATATACATAATTTATTTTTTTTAAAAAGATGTAATAAGATGAACAGAAACATAATATTTATTGAATTAATTTCGTGTATTTTTTTATAAATAAAGTTTATCAAAAAAAATTTATGCAAAGCACAAACAATAGTCATACAATAGACCGTCTCCTAACATACTTTTTAATAGTGAGATTTCTAAGGTAGTAAGTGAAGAATGCTGCTCTCTTTTTTAACGAGGCAGGAAAAATTATATTTTTTAAATATCAGCCTATTAAAAAATAAATTAAATGTATTATAATTTTTAAAAAAACTTATTTTATGTCTAAGACCTCGTTTATAGTAATCGCGATATACAGAGATACCGCTCAAGAAGATGCGTAATTACAAATATACATATTAAATTATATTGCTATACTATAGTTTAGCGATGAATTATACGCCTCTTGAGCGACAACGCTGTTGATATTTACGAGACTTAGGACTAAAAAGCAGTGGGGATAGGGGGAAGCTATGAAGGCTTGTAAGAGATTATGTATACTATTAGATATTGTTATATATATTAGTATACTATCTTATGTAGACAATTTTATAAAAAAAATCTATGGAAAAATTAATATAAATTATATTAGGTTCAAAAGTTCATAACAAAATTGTCTAAAATTAAAAGAGTAGGTATTTCAAATATGTTGGGATACATTTCTGGAAAAATCATATTTTGAAATTTTAAAAAATGTGTTCAAAAAATGATTTAAAGTGGAAAAAATAATACAATGCCGGAAATTGATGCTAACATAATATATACATACTTGTAAAATATATACAGTCCCGTTACACATTTTTAGATATTGAGCAAGAATAGTTGATGATTGCGTACTAAGTGAGTCGTATAAATGAAGAACGGTAATTAGCGAAGCCTAAAATGGAGTCGATCATAATTTTAATTAATATGATAAATAATAAATATCTTTCTTTTTCTTCTTTTTTCTCGAGCAAGAGTTAATTTCTACATTTTCAAAAAAAAATTGAGCTATGTTTAGCCATTTTTTAATCTACTAAAAATATGTTAAAACAACTAAAAATAGAGTTCAAATATCCAGATAACAATTATCAAATTTATATATTCTTGTGTTTTTACAAAAGAGAGCTTTTTGACGCAAATAAAATATTTATTTTCCTTTTTTTATTTATTTATAAGTAAATATTATTTTTTTTTGGCAAACCAACATATTTAGGGATTTATAAAATCCCTTTTTTAAACTAATTTTAAGTGAATATTTAATTAATAATTTTAAATCATTACTTAAATTAGTATTTATAACGATATTAGACCTGGAAAAATTATGTTGATATGGTTAAAATACAATATTAAAAATGCGAGATAGGCATATAGAGTATATAGGTTTATAATTAGAATTCTTATTGGTTGAAATAAGTTAAAGTAAAAATCGCATATATTATAGAATTCTGCAAGACCGCCCCATGGTCAGTCGTGGGGCAGAAATAATTATTCTTTATTTTTTATTTCCCTTAAAGAAACATATCAGACTTGGTGAAGAAATAAGGAAAACAATTTTCTAAGCAAAACGTATTTTGATGATATGAGTAAATTCGATTCGGGGGAAAAAAATATTGCCGACTGTTTCCGATCATGTAATTTATAATTAGACTCTTTAAACGGCTCGATTGGAGCCGATTTTTAAAAAAACAGCCAGTTCAATATTTATCCAGGAAATAATTACGTATGCCTGAAGATCTTGCCCATAGATGGTACAAAGGTTTGAAATTCTATCAGCAAAATAATGAAGGTTTAGGCAATATTTTCTGGCTAAAATATTGAGTTAGCCGTTTAACAACACTCAGAGAAGGTCTTCCCAACTATGCAACTTTTGATTTTTCGAAATTAACAACTTTTTTATTCAGGTTTTCTACTATACTAAAGAATATTCTTTCTCGAAATATCATTAATTGCTGGTGTTGCTAAATCACCTATCTTTAGCCAACTCAAAGGCTAGCCACTTAAAAAAACCCAACTCAATCTTCATTAAAGTTAAGTCAATTTTTTATGCTTATAACTTGATTCATCATTAAAAATCATGGATCCTATAAGGAAGTCTTTAAATTAATATTCCCACGCGGCTAATATACATGCTAAGGGATAATTAGTATATTTATAGAATATGGTAATAAAAGTTGAAAGATGATGGTAATAATTAGATTTATTCATAAATGATGAATGTAAATAAATTTTGAAACAGAGAAAACAAAATGATGACTTAAAAATTATCCAAGTCTATATCTAAGCTTGCACCTGGACACCCCGAATTCCATTAAAAATTTCGAAGGGTCCAGAACTCAAGATTATTACATGAATGTACGAAATGTGTGTTATAAAGTAGAAACTATACAAATTCTATTAAATAGCCGATATTTGCTGGCTCGAACCGAACGGGCTAAGAAATGGTATAATTTCAAATAATCGGGTGGGTTTAAAAAAACTGGGACAATTTTAAAAATTTCCTCTTCTTTTTTTTCCTTCCTACTTTCTTTCTATATAACGAATTAAATCAGGTGGAAAATCACGTAACGGACTGTTCAATATTCATTTATACTGATCATATTTTCAATTTTCCCTTTGAAATATTTTTGCAAAATATCCCTAAAATTTATTCAAAAAAACAAAACTTCTAAAAATTTTGAGCCGGGTCGGTAAAATAATCAAAGTTAAATATTTATGTATCTTTAAAATTTTTCAAATCCCGGGCTGGGCTTTGAAAATGGAATTTCATTTTAAATCAATGCTGAACCTAAAATTTGGATCTCTGCAAGTCTCTAATAAATAATCATGTACTATATTCACAAACCAGCATGTGGGTGGAAAAATATTATATTTGATTTAAGTTACTATTTTTTACCTTAACTAAATTTATTAATAAAAATTCGTAATTTGCAAATCACGTGACATTTTACTACAAATACGTTTTTGAATATAATTTTAAAGTGATTCTTAATAAGTTATGTAGACCTATAGCTATATTAGATTTTAATAAAAATATTTTGTGTTGCCACTTTTCTTTTCTAAAAATTTTGAATTATAGGTGTTATTATAAAAATTTATTAACTTTTAATAATTTTTTATTTATATTACTATATTGTATATTTTTGGGCGAGAGGAGGGGGTAGGTGGGTAGTGTGTAGGTGGGAAATTTTTATTAGCTCAAGATGATATTTACGACAAATTTATGATGGGAGGGATCTTACTCCCTCTTCGTAAAGCGCCTGCTCAGACATATAAACTAGCATTTCTTTTTAAAAATGTATAATTTCACCAATTAACAAATTTAAATATTATAGGATTTTTTCAACAAAAATATATAAAATGATAAGCTAATTTTTCAGCATTTTATTTAAAGCCTGTTTCTAAATTTGAATTGGATCGGATCAAAAGAGAAAAATATTTTTTCTATATGGTGAAAAGCTGCTATACCAAAGAGTTGATCCAAGATTATAATTATTTATGTATTATCACCACCGGAAATTTTATTTTAGGACCTCCATCACTCAAGATTTTATACATTATTCATTTTAATTTATTAAACTGCTAAAATAAGTTTAAAAAATTATAAAATTGATGTTTATCTTCACACCCTAGGATTTTGTGATTAGATTTATCATCTTTAAAGATCTTTCAAGGTTGGTTATAACTTTTTTGGTAAATTATTTTGTCAATATTTTTCGAATTTCCTTAGAAAATTTTGCACAGTGTTGACCATTGATTTAAATATATTTGGATGTCATCTGTTAATATAGGATTCTTCTTAATAGAGTAGTTCAAGATGATCATTTCTATAGATATTTAATATTAGTTCGTCTTTACACTTTTTACCTCTTCGTTAGTAAATTAAATACATGAAATTGCAAAATATTAAGTTAAATTTTTTTAAAAATTATATTTATTATTTTGATTTTTAAATATAATATTTATTTGAATAAAATTTTTTTAAATATTCAGAATTTATACTAATTGCAATGCATTATTATCCGTAACTACCCCTGTAGCCGTGCAATTAAAATTTTATTTTCTTATATTTGTTTCAAAATTTACTCTTTTTTTTATGTATTAAATAAAAATATGAAGGTATGAATAAATAAATCCTACAAATATGATAATATATAAATTTACCAATGAATCCAAGCAATCTTTGGCCATATAAAATGTTGCCCTTTTTTTAAAAAATAAATCTCATTACCGATATTTTTGAATTTTTTTAAGAAAAAAGTTAATGAATTATAAACCCTGTCACAAACAGAAATCAGAGTCAAAATTTATCGAATAACACATGTAACATAGCTTATATATTTTTACATCTTCCATAAACCTTTTGCCGGCCTGACCTAACCTGTTAAAAAGGTCGATCGCAAACTGGACAAATCTCTAGTAAAGGGTTAACCCAAAAAATTGATAATTTTAAGTTGATAACAGATGATAAAAGATAGGAATATGATTATATTCAAGGTGACACCTATCCAATTCAAATCTAGCTCTCGTTTAAATATCCGTCTCATATAGGGGAGAATTTTTTCTATAAGGTGAAACAATCTGAATGAAATGACAAATAAATTTAAGAGCAGCATATAATTATTTGCCATTACTACGAATTAAGATATTTATCAGAGGCCTGCAGAGGCACTCTTTCCAGGACACGGCCTGGAATTTTTTAAATAATTTTATAGATAATAATGGCGATTTATAAGGCCCAGCCTGAGTAATGTTTTAAAAAAAAATTTTAGGCCAGGGCCTGGTATATTTAAAAAAATCGAAAAAACGGCTTGGCTAATTTACCAGGGTCGGGCCTCATTAAATTAATAAAATTAAATTTATTAATTTTTTAAATGTTATGTGGTGGAATAATGTAACGAAAAAAAACATTTGTTATAAATAAAATATAAGTAATTAATAAAAAATTTCTAATAAGTTCAAGGGTTAAAAATATTATTTTTTGAAAATAATTTTTATGATTTATTTTCTATAGCTGTAATCCTATTTCGATAGTTGTCGTTAAAAAAAGTCAATATTTTTTACGCCAAATCATACTCAAAACAAGTTAACACTGAAATTTTTCTAATGGCCAAGGCGAAATTTGGTGCCATCACGGATGATTTAGTGCATTTTGTTTATTTTATTCCCTCAAAGTTAATAAATCTCTTTTAAATTATAGGAGGTTCATAGCGAATGAGTGACTCGTTAAATGTGATTTTTGTCGTAAATAATATATTAAAAAATTTTCACATTTTTAACTATTTTCTTTCAGTACGCACAAATTGAGCATTTCAAACGCAAATAATGCATATCAAAATGGCGTCGTGCACTTGATAAAATTACCGTTTGGCGTTAGCAATCATTTAAAAAAACGATCCAATACTCTTTTCTTTGTAATATTACATTAAATAAAAAAATAAATTAAAGTAATAAAAAGGCAGACGATAATATAATTTTCAAAGACAAATCCTTTATTGGAACTTAGTTAAAATTTTGAATCGACGGTATTTTTAAAAAGGCAATCAAAAAAAAATATATTATAAAATTTTAAAAAATCAATATTAATAAAATATATTTACAATCATAAAATATCCAAAAATCAATGATAATATCGGATCAGTTGAAAATATTAACCCGATCCAATTTTTAAAAAGATAAATAACGGCCCCGAGCCGGTATCCGCTATTTAATATCGACAGAGCTCTATTTACCCTTCCTGTAATATTGTAACTAATAACAAAAAAGATAAATTTCTCTACGAACCCATCTTTATATATTAGGATTTGGGCAGAAGTTCAAATTTAAAATATAATTCAATTCATTACTAAATACTTGGGTATTGGGGTTAAATTTTTTTCAAAAAAAATATTCATTCGATTTAATTCGTATTTTATCAATAACAAGATTATGAATAATTGGTCGAATAATAGCCGTTTCATTATTCGATCAAATTATTTTTTAAAAATTGAAAATATTCGTAATTATTGGCATGTTTGTGGAACTTCTAATATTTAAAATCCCTCTTATTTTTCCACTTTTGGAAAATATTTTATTGTTTGAATACGTATAAATTCGTATTTTTTCAGGTTCTAATTATATATATATTTTTTAAGCAATAATATAAATTACATTGGTTAACACTAAAGAGATATAGAAGAAAAAAAATTACTCATATATTATCTTATTTACCCACCGTTTTCGCCATATTTTTAGAAGTATCCCAATATTGATCTTGATAAGAATGATTGCGCATGGCATTGTCGTTATAATTATTAGACGAATATTTTAGACTAGATTTATCAGGCGACGATGACTTAGTACGATCCCGCAATTTCAAATGATAATCTGAAGAATCGATGGAGTAATTTGAATGTGCTTCACAGATAATGACTAAGGGGTAGGAGGACCTAGGAGCGGATCCTAACATCTCACTTTTGACACTTCTAGGTCGTTTAATGTAAATATCTTCCCAAGATATGTTATTTGGCAAAACGTTTGTTATATCATCACCCAAACCATAATTTTTTTTTGCTAGGCTTAAATAGTATATTATAGTATATATATATATTATGTACAAAATCGTTATTAAATAAACAGTGCATTAGTGATGCCAGGTAAATTTCATCATTTGAACGTACTTAGAAAAAAAAAATTTTTTTTTTAAATTTATATTTGAAAGTATTCTAAAAACGTTTGTTCAAATAGAAAACACTTTAGATCATTTTTGCCCCTATCTAATCATCCCCAGTGATTTACATTTTTAGTATATTAGAAGAGGGAAATATTTAATAACATCAGGCTATAGTTTAAAAATAGTTAATATTTTCTTGTGTTTTCTATAAAAAATAAATTTCGGAATTAGAAAATTTTGGTTGATAATTTTAAAACGCTCTTACACATATTGGTATAGATTAAGGGCCAAATATTTAATTCCCTAAATATGAGATTGCTATTAAAAAGAGATGATCTATTCTACTCTCTGAGCTAAGTATATCTATACTGGCAGCCAGTAGAATATATTTTCCTCTCTCCTTAGAATAAAAACTTGAAAATTAATTTTCAATTCTTGTTTTTAAATCTGCATTTAAAGAATTATCAATTTAAAAAAATATTTGTTGATTCTCATATTATTTGTGCCTAAATTGAATTTGAAGTAAACCTAACACATATAATATAATTTTAAAATGAAGCCTAACTAAATAAAATAACTAACCTTTGAATACAATTAATTTTATGCCTAAATTATGTTAAAATATAAAAAGAATTAAAAGTAAATTTCATTTTGTAAAAAAATAAATATATTTATATTTTTAGTAAATTTTACTCAATAGGTTCACTTTGATAATAGCAATTCAATAATGTTCTATTATTCAGACTCACTAACCATTTTGCCCATGGAAGATTAAGGGAGTCAAATAATTGTTTTGCATTTACACCCCAAAATGGCCATACAATAATCTTTGGGTATTCTATGTGAAATTTTAGATAACAGCCATCTTTATATGTTTTTTATTTAATAAATAATTTGCATTCATTTAATTTCTTTAGTTTTAAGTAAATAATTAATAAATAATTTATTAGGATATTAATTTTAATATTTTTATATATAGTGATTTGATGTCATTACAATTTAGTGAAATTAATATATATATATATTACCATTAAAATTTGAATTCTGGTTTTCATTGAGTTTAACAATATAAGGGCATTTTATTGATTGCATATATAAATTTTGATATTTATTAAACTGTGATTTAGTAGAAGAGTCAATATTAATGTTCAAAATAATTCCCTCGTGTTGCCAAAGTCTAGATTGTAATAGAAACTAAATATCAAAAGAAAACATTACCTGAGTAGTAGGAAAGAGGATACAAATAAAAAGAGAATTATGAATAGAATACTCAAATAATTTGATAGAGCAACAATATCCTTAGATGGCAGAATTATATTCGGAAACATTTGTATTAAAAATTGATAGGTAAGTGCAAGTGAGCTAAACTATACATACATTAAGCGTTTTGTGAAGCAAAACCTTGGATAAAAACATATGATCGATCTTCGATAACTTTTATAAATAAACTAATTATCATACTCTATAAATATTATTTATTGATAGCTGTCAATTAGAGGAGACGCAAAATAAAATGCAAAGATTAAACAAAATCGTATTTTTATTATTAACTTTATTATGTCTATCTTTTCCATTTCACACTTCGTTTATATACATATTTTATAAATCCAAATTAGAATACAATATTAAAAAAACGAAAAACAAAAATAAGATTAAAATATAAAAAAGTAAGGTTATGAAATATAACAAGTCAAATTAGATTATAAAAAATAAAAATTAGAATGCAACGACGCAAGATTCTCCCTTTTCTGAAAGCCTTCCCATAAATTCATCTAAGAGAGTTTGTTGTCCAAGTAGTATATCCTTTTGGTAATCAAGTTGTTTCACAAATCATCATAACGATGGCTTGTCCCAATCGTTGGTTTGATTAAATCGCAAGCTTGATATCCTTATCGTAAGTTGTTTCCATAAATCATAGCCTGCTTGGTAGTACTCAGTTGTTATTATCATCATTTACCAAAATTGTTATTATCATAAATAAGTTGCGAATATCAAGAAATAATAATTCATCAAATTGGATATAAGAATAAATGAAAAATGATAAATCAATAAGATTGTTATATAACATTTTCAGCGTTTAAATTTTTTTTTTGCATTTTAATATAAGCGTTTTAATATTTAATTTACTTTATGCAATTTACTATTTATTTTATATTTTATGTTATATAGTCTTTTAAATAAACAGGTTTTTTTTAAATTCGCACAGGTCTAGAAATAAGTGTTTATCAGTAATTTTTATATTTTTGTCCACACTTCCCTCCTTAAAAGAATCCTTAGAGTCATAGTTAATAATTGTATTAAAACAGTTTCTAATTCTTATTTGATTTAAATGTCTCCTCAAAATACCTTTCTCAGTCTTAATTTGGAACATCATGTCACTTTCTTTATGTGTGATGGTACCTTTGCACCATTTATCATCACCCTGTAATTTGTACCAAACAAAATCTCCTACGTTAAAGGTTCTATTACGTGGTAAAGTAACGTTTATCTTATTCTTCTCCTCCATCGGTTTTAATAAGTCCCATTTAATTCTAATATCTCGATTAAACATTCTTTGAGAAGGTGTAACACCTGTAGTATCATTACGCGTATTTCTGTAATTAAATAAAAATTTTCCAAGCGCGATATCTGGGTCAATTTTAATATTCCTTTTCATATGTGTTTTGAACGTTCTAACCATACGTTCAACCTGGCCATTGGATTGCTGGTGATAAGCAGATGTAAGCACATGTTTAATACCAAAATTGTTGCAAAATTTTCCAAAATCGTTACTCGTAAAGTTAGTGCCGTTATCAGTAACTATAATTTCAGGTATTCCATATAGCGAAATAGTTTTAAAGATTTCTTTTAAAGTAATATCAGTCGTAATATTTTTAACAGGAATAATAATTGGGAATTTGCTGTAGGCATCGATTATTATCAACCAATTTTTTGTCAAAAACGGACCCGCATAATCTATGTGTATCCTTTCAAACGGTTTGGTTGCCGAAACCCATGGTTTTTGTATCTTTATAGGATTATCGTGATATATGTTACAATCATCACAACTTTTCACTTCCATAACTACATCATTATTTATACCAGGCCACCACATGTAATCTTTGGCTAAGGATTTGATTTTTCCTGCTCCCAAGTGACCTTCATGTAATGACTGTAGTATATTTTTTCTCATAGAAGACGGAATTATGATTTTGTTGTTTTGTAAAGACAATCCTTAATTATACTTAATTCCAATTCAATGTTTTTATAAATATTATTCATTATAGGCCTGTTGTTATTAATATCACTTATGACTTGTTTTAATTCCATATCTTTCAAAGTTTCATCACGAATTTGATTAAAGTTAATAGGTAAATTCTCATATTCATTTATTATGGTTATATTTTCAATAGTTTTATCACGACATTCTTGTGGTAATCTCGAGAGACAATCAGGAACAACATTATATTTACCGGCTTTATACTTTATATTAAAATCATATCCTCCTAATGTAAAATTCCACATCTGGAGTCTTAACGACATGGTGCTATAATCCTTAAGACCCTTGGTAAAGATGTGAACTAGAGGCTTATGGTCAGTAATAATAGTAAATTTTGTGCCTATTAAATATTCCTGGAATCTCTTTATAGCGAACATTATGGCGAGAGCCTCACGCTCAATATTGGTATAGTTCATTTCAGATTTTAATAAAGTTCTCGACGCGAAAGCTATAGGTTTTTCTTTACCATCTTTTTTAATATGAAATAGTACAGAGCCTAGACCGCATTTCGATGCGTCAGTAGCTATCCCTATAGGTAATTCAGGGTTAAAATATGTCAAAGCAGGTGGAAGACTAATCAACTTCTGGAGATCATTATAACTTTTAGAGTGTTCTAGGTTCCAAGCCCATTTTTCTTTGTTGACAATCTTATAAAGAGGATCGGCAATTTCCGCAAAATTGTTCAAAATAATTTCTATAGTAGCCAGCCATTCCCAGAAATGTTGATAATTCAGCAGCTGATTTTGGTTCTGGCATATTAATTATTGCTTCAATTTTGTCGTGTTTAGCATGAATCCCCTTAGCGTCAGAATCATGACCCAGGAACCTCACTTTGTTTTTAAAGAACACACTTTTATTAAAGTTAGGTATTAGCCCAAACGATGATATTCTATCAAACACTTTTTTTATGTTGTTAAGGTGGGCTTCATCGTTTTTTGCAGTTATAAGTAAATCATCAATATAAAATATGACGTCATCCATATCACCGAAGATTCGATCCATAATCTGTTGAAAAATTGCAGATGAGGTCTTAAGCCCAAAAGGAAGTCTAGTAAATTGGTAATATCCCTTGTGCGTAGATATGGTTAAAATATTTCTGCAACTTTTATCAATTGGTATCTGTAAGAAAGCATTTGTAAAGTCAATCTTCGTAAATTTCTTTCCTTCTGAAAGTTTAGCAATTAGATCATTGATTCGTGGTAGAGGGTGTCTAAAATCTTCTAGAGCTGGGTTTACAGTGTCCTTAAAATCAGCACAACGCCTAATGCTCCCATCATCTTTGTAGACAGCGGTAACAGGACTTGCCCATCGGACATCATTCACCGGCTCAATTATCTTATCATGTATAAATTTCTTAAGTTCATTGCTAACAAGATCAATTTTTGAATAAGGAATACGTCTAGGCGGTATAATTTTAGGTTGGGCATCTCTTCTTAAATGTAACTTGACACTTGCTTTGTTGATTGGCCCATTAGTCAATTTGGATTCACACTCTATAATCAATTTTTTTATTTAATCTTCGTAATTAGTGTCAACATTTGCTATAAATTTATTTAAAATATTTTTGAAAGCATTGATCCACGTACGTCCCAACAAGGCATTTTTACTTGATTCGACGACTACCGCTAGTAAATATTTTGAGATACCATCATAAGTCACTTTAACTTGAGTAGTGCCGATGATTTTGATTAAATTCCCGTCATAAGCGGTGAGTTGTAACTCGGATTTCTTAAGATCTCTAATACCAAGTTTTTTAGCCAGACCATGAGGTATAATAGTGTGTTTGGAACCAGTGTCAACTTGCATACAAGTAACAATATCGTTCACTTTTAAAGTAGTCATAAATGCGTTATCTTTGTCATTAAGCATGTCACCAGATAAATTGTTGACATTAAAATCATATCATCTTTGTTCTTTGTAGAGTCCACTTTCTCTTCAATAATTTCTTCAATATTCATGTTGTAATCATTGTTGTATTGTACTTGCTTTCTATTATTTTCGTCGCCACCTCTATAATTATTTGAGTTGTTGTTATATTGTATTTGCTTTCTCTGATTATTATCATTACCTCTATAATTATTTGAATTGTTGTAATAAGATTGGTAATTGTTACGATTTCCGTCACCGTATTGGATTTGTTTTCTTTGATTATTATCATACCATGTATTATTTCTACCATAATTCAATTGATTATTATTGATATAGCGATAGTTGTTGTAGTTATAATTGTTATAATTATCGTGGTATTACGAATTATTATTACCATAATTGTATCTAAAATTATTATTGTAATTCCCATTTCTATTTCTATTATCATAATTATTTCTTTCGCAACTATATCCTTTTAACATTTTTCCCCTTTCAGGGAAAATGTGGATATAGTTGGATACCTTGGCCTTTATGGCTTTGGTATCCCTAAGGCTTTATTTAACAAAATCAAATTTTTGGTGATGTGATATATAAGAGAAAAGTAAATTTTTCGTGGAAATATATATACAAAGAAAATAACAATAATGATATTGAACACATTATAATGAGTATTTATAGTAATAAATATTATCGGATGAATCGTTCTTTAGTGTTCGTTTATTGTTTGAAAATTTTTGATTTTGTTGTCTTGCCTTAGAATAGGTCATCGCTGGCTATGCTAATTTGTTCCATTTCCTATGTTATCGTGCTGGATTGAAGAGATAGTCCGGATATTAACGACGGAGTTGTACCGATTGAGGGGACTGTTTCCTCACCGAATAAGGATATTTCCTCTTCCTGGAGGAGTATTTGTCCTGATAGTGGGGCGCCTTCGAAAAGGGTGAGATTGTCTCTGTTTCCCATCCAAGATCTAGACGGCTCGTCAGCAGGGTTTTCGTCAGTAGGGATCCAACGAATGTTCTGGGACAAGGTTGTAAAATGTGGTAGACCAAGTTTGGATAGTAGACAAGTTATTATTATCTCGAGTGACGGCGATCTTGACCCTCCTTTCCTAAGGGTATAGTAGGTAACTGTGGAGTCTGTCAAGATGATGGGGACTTGGCCATCTTTATCTAATGCAAGGAGGGCGCCTACGCCTGCGGCAAGAATTTCTTTACCGTTGATGTGCTGGATGGCGTGAGTGGGGACATTGAGCAGTAAGGCGGCTTCAG